TTGCCTCTCCGTGAACCAATCACTTCAGCCAGGGGGATGGGCTGTATTGATTGGATTAGACTCATCAATTGCCTTCAGTTTTCTCATCTACAGTAACAACATTTGAGTGCTTACTATGTCCCAAGCACTACATCACCCTTTACGTGCATTACCATTCTTAATTCTCCCAAAAGCCACACAAGTAAGTTCCTAGAATTATCCTCATTTTACCAATGTGGAAATGAAAGCTCAGAGAGGGTGGACACCTTGCCCAGAGTCACACAGCCATCATGTGGCAGAGCTGCTGGTTAGAGGCAGAACTAAGAGCTGAAAGGGGCCTATAGGATTCTGGAGCCTGAGCTCTCAGCCCCCGTGTCCCTAGCTGTTGGGGGAGGGTATCACTCGAGGGCCCCCAGCTACTGTTAGTCCATCTCCTGTTGCTATCCTGGTGACCCAAATCCTTTGCTCAGAGGCAAATGTTTTGTCCACAGATTCTCAGGTTTCAGACCAAGTTTACTCAGAAGTCCTGCTCCCACCTCTGTGTTCCTCTGGACTCTATTCTCCCTCTACCTGATCTGTTTCCATGGAAACGGCTGGGCTCTTGCATCCCTTTCATCCTCCTTTCTGGGAAGCAAGGCCAGCTCACCGGCACCCTGGTACCAGGCCTGACCATTATTATAAAGACCAAAGAAGCAACATCTGGAAGAAATATTTCCAGGCAGAGGGAGGAACCGGGTCGGGCTTCTGATTCTTTTCTTTGATGTTCTCCTAAATAACACCAGGGGCTCTGAGAGATCTACCAATTACCTCGGCCCATTGGATGCTGGCTGGGAAGCTGTCTTGTCGTCTGTTCTCCTGCGTCTCACCATCTCACAGTCAGCAGGCCTCTCTCCCTTCGGGGGGGAGGGTGCAATTCTGGGGTCTGAGGCAGAGGAGAGGACATGTCAGGCAAGTCTTCTTGCCGACGCTCTGTATTGGGTCGCAGCATTCAGGATGCAGCCGGTGGGCTGGGGTGGAAAAGGAAGGATGGCACGCAGTCTGCCCTTTCTGGAGGAGGGAGGAAGCGGCCACCAGCTGAACTCATGGCCTTCCTGGAAACAGTGGACATGGCATCACTCCTTGCCATTGGGAGGTGCCCTGTGGCTCCGGTGGCCAGGACATGGGAAGAACTTGGTACATGTTGCCCAGGAGCTTGGCACCTGGTCCACAAGGACTCCATATACCCCGGAAACTGGAAACTGGAGGAGCCAGAGCGTTCTTGATATCCCACTCCAGCCAGGTCAGCCAGGTCTGAGCTTTGGTTTCTTTATCTTTAAAATGGGCCCAATTCTTGCGCTGCACACCTGGTGGGCTAGTTGTGAGGACCTAACCAAGCAGGATACATTAAAGCCCTCTTTAAAGGCATCTAAAGGTGTCCTCGTGGCCATCATCATCACCATCATCACCATTGGTGTAAAATGTGAGAGGGGGTCCCGGAGGAGTAGCAAAACCTGGGACATCTCAAAATAATTACAAGAGTCTCAATTCACTGAGATATAAACATGCAAGAGTTTCGTCTTTGTCATCACTGCTTTCAGATATGCTCACTGAATCTCTCTTCCCACCCCTTAGTGATTTCTTGATCTGAGTCCATGTGTTCTTCTCGCATTCAGGTATTTAAACTTGATCCGGTCCAGCTGAAAATTCTAATCTCTTCTCAGACTCAAAGCTCTCCCCCTCCCCATCGCACCCTGCAGGAGGGCCTCGGCTCCAGGGCTAAGCCTGGAGGAGGGCGTGGGCCGGCTAGGAGACATCTCCTCCCTGGGTGGGGCGGGGCGGGGCAGAGAAAGGGGAGGAGCCCGTCTTACCTCTCTGGTCCCTGAGGGTTGTAGGAGCTACTGCAGGGCCTGTCGGGGAGTGTGTGGACCCTGCACGGTGGGATGATGGTTTTCTGGGAGCAGTTTTCAGCTCCACCCCCGCTTCCTTCAACACCAAGGATCAACCAGCAGGCATCTGGCTTCTGCTGCTTCTTTAAACTCCATGCACCTTTGCCAGGAGCCACAGCAACCTCTAAGGGCTGCAGAGAATGGGATGGAGTTTGATTGCACCCATCTTCCTTGCAGGCACAGGACAGTACAGCCTCGGCCTTCAGACCACTGGAAGTCAGGAACAGCATCAGTTCTGTCTCCACAGGGAGCCTAGACTCTGGAATTCTGCCCTGGGACCAGGTGGGCTTGCCAGTGTCCCCTGGCATCTGGCAGGCATCCCCCATGACCTGGAGAGGTCTTCTGGAGGTCCCACGGCTTCAGAGGAGCCACAAATGCTGTACTCCCTGAAGACTAAGGCTCCTTCCTCTCCCCCCCAATATAGGCTTCTCCTTGTACACCCTATGGCCTTCGCTGGAAGTGGGGGGCTGACTTAGTGAGGCCAGCAGATGAGAGGTGCCTGGCTTGTCTGGGGTAGTTTTACAAGTGAGGTACTTAGCCCCTTTTGTGTTATTTCAGAGCAAGAAAAATTCCTCCTAACATCCTATGTTAATAAGAATAACGACCTTTTAATTAAGCACGTACCACTGCCAGGACTCTTGCTAGCTAACTCCTTGCCCACATTATTTTTGGTCCTTACACTGACTTTGTGCCACCAGTATGATTACCTCTACTTTTACTAAAGTTCAAAGGGGTTAAATAGCTTGCCCAAGACCTCACAAGCAGTAAGTGGGTTTGGAACACACATCTGCCTGACCCCAGAGCAGGGTTTGTAACTCCTAAATGTAACTGCTTCTGCAGGATTTGGCTTGGGGACAAAGGACAAAGGGACTTGCTTGGGCTCTGCGGCCCTCCCTTGGCCTGAGTCTGGGAGACTCAGGGATGCGCCTCCCAGAAAGAGACTCCAACCATGTGTCTAAAATGAACGAGGCAGGGCTGTCCCAGTGCGGAGTCTGGAGGTCCCTGTGGCCACTCTGCAGTGAAGCCCACATCATCCCCCATCTCAGCAGCTCTGGAAAGTAGGAAGCAGGAGCTCCACTCTCTCTTCCTCACTAGAAAAACCAAAGCAGCAGGAGGGTACTGGTTTGGTCTTTAGTGAGCCAGGATGAGCTCTCTGGCCACACAGGTCTGGGCAAGAGGATGGGGCAGGAGGTGGGTCAGAAGAGCCAGAATGACACTGTCCCAGGTGGACGGGGCTGAGCCTGGCCCTGAGGGGCTGTGCAGCACAGTGGTTAAGAGCTTGTATTTAACCTTTCCCCTTGGCCTCACTCTTGGTTAATGCCTCCAGGGGCCATTCACTACCCCAGGAGAGGGATGCTGGCCAAGGAATTTCTTGCCAAGCCAACCACCACTGGTCTCTGGTTCCAATGACGGGCAGAGGGAGCACCAACTCATTTAATCCTCTGAGCAATTCTAAGAAGTAAATACCCACATTCCCATTTTGCAGAAGAGAAAAATTGAGACACAGACAGGCTATGTGACTTGCCCAAGGTCACATTGCTTATTCTGGGATTCAAACCCAAGCAGCCTGATTCTAGAGTGCCTGCTCTTAACCACTGAACCACCCTGCCACCCTAGAGGCAGGGCAAGAGAGACTCAGCAGCTTTGGTGAATTTCTCAGCCCAGGACTCTTCCCTGGTAGCAGGGGGGAAGGGGATGCATGCAGGCCTCAAAAGCTGGCTTTTTATGACTCCTCCTCTCCTAGTCTCTTCCTGCCGGAAACTCTAAACACATTTGCTCTGGGCAAAAAACAAGTGGTTTTGGAACCTTCGCTCTGTATTGCCCCTTCCAGGCTCACGCTGGACTCACCCCTCCCCCTCTCCGTCCTCTCCTGGCATTCCTCTCTCCCCTAGCGACCTCCTTTTGATTCTCACTTACCTCCTTCCCTTTTCTCTCTCCCTTTGGAAGGCAGTTCAGCTAACACTCATTAGCACATGTTAATGAGCATCAATTCATTTCTTAGTCACTCAGCGGGAGAGGAGAGAAAGTGGGGAGGAAGCTGCCACTCTGGGGGTAACGGTGCACAAGGCAGGACAGGCCCCCAGGGCTCAGGCCCCCAGGGCGAACCAGGAGGGCGCCCTGTTCCCAGCCTGGGGAGTCCTGTCTGCTGTCCTAGGGACTTTACTCTCTATAGCTGCTCCTATTTTCTCTGAGACCGGAGCAGAACATTCCTAGTCAGCGTTGGACCTTCTCTAGCGGCTGGCCTAGGCACATTCTCAGGACGTCCCTAGGTGGGCGTGGTTAAGACCCGGTAGGTGAGGGTCTAGTTCTGCTACTCTCTGAACAAGTGTCTGAAAACCCCCAGAGCCCGTCCAGGGTGAGGCAGGTACCAGGGCTGGAGGTAGGTACCCACGGGAGGGCAATACCCAAGACCCAAGAGGACAGTGGAAGCCTCTCCTCCACTCCCATCTGGATCTCCCTGGGTGTCGCTGATTCCAGCTGCCCTCCAGTAAAGCCTTGAGGATGCTTGGCTTCTCCCCAAGACTGGGCCCCTTTAAGGGGCCATGAGAGCATGGGAAAAGAGCTGGGTTCGAATTCCAGCTCAGCCCCTTATTTGCTGCGCAAGTCATGCAGTCATTTGAAGTCGCAAGTCCCTTCATCGGAAAAGTGTTCCCTGTTCTTCCTGCGGTGGAAGGATCAGACGAGAGGAGGCGTGAGAGAGATCTAGTGAATTCCAAAGTCCAGGGGCTAACTACTTGTCAAACATATTATTATTGCGATTAGCGGTGTTGCTGTTACTACTGTTATTAGTGCTACTGCTAGCAATAATACGTGGTGGCAGTACTCAAGCCGGTCAGAAAGAGGCAAGGGCAGCCTCTCTCCCCTTCGTCCCGAAGAGCCCCTGGTTCCCTGGCCCGGCGCGCCGTGGTCTCAGCACAGACGGGCGCGCCCCCCGCGAACCCTGGCGGAGCCCCCGGGCGGCCGCCGCCCCGCCGCGACCCGGGCCGATTCCCTGAGCGCGCGCGCCCCCTGCTGGCGCACGGGCGCGGGTGCAGCCCCCGGACTGTATATAAGGGCAGCGTGGCTCACAGGACCCAGCCGAGCGCGGGAGCGGAGCGGCGAGCGGGGACAGCGCTGTGCTGCCTGAGGTCTCCGAACCGCTCGCCATGGCTGGCCCGCAGCAGCACCCCCCTTACCTGCACCTGGCGGAGCTGACGGCGTCCCAGTTCCTGGAAATCTGGAAGCACTTTGACGCAGACGGTTAGTAAATCTCCCAACTTCTGTGCCCGTTCGCCCCCAGGGGACCTGCGGCGGAGGGGAAGGGGCATTGCTGATGCGGGTAGGCGTACGTTTGCCCCAGGGGATGTGTTGGCCCCAGAGCCTGCTGAGGTCGGGGTCTCGAGTTTGGGAGACATCCTGCTGCGCTGGTGACAACTGTCAGTAACTTTTCTTCCCTGACATCGACAGCAGAGAGCCCACCGGCTTTTGCAGCCTCATTCTGGGCAAGTTGGAGCTTCCCCAGAGAGGAGGCCTGGGCCGGCAAGGCTCCCCATGATTCCCCCTGCCATCTTACCTACCCCGCCTTTCTCCTTCAAGGTAATCTCCTGCCTTCAGCTGCTACAGCTACAGGTCTCAAAAACCCACTCCTTTCTTTCCTCAAGTTCCCCTTTTGTTGAATACCAGGTTAGCCCCCCGTCGCTGTCCTGGGGGTTGGGGCAAACTGGGGGATCTTGCCGGGAAACCTTTGGCCTCCCTAGACTGATTGGCCCCGGGGCAGGAGTGGAGAGTGGCATCAGGGCCCTGAACTCCTCTTGGGCTTCCTTTGCCCATTTTCCATCCCCGGTGGGCATGTGGGTCCCACCCACAGCAGCAGCAGGTATGGTGGGGACAAAATTGGGGTACCAGCCTGACAGACTCCCTCATGCTGGTAACCCTAGGTGCTTTGGGTGACTCCATCTCGGGGTGGGAGGAGGCACAATCTTCAATGCCTCAGTGACCAACCCTCTGCTCTGTGTGGTCTTGACATTCACTCAACCAAAAATTGAGCACTGGACTGAATGACCATTGGAGGTGGCTCTCAGCACTGGGATTCCAAGAGTCTATGACCGTCTGACTCAGGCATAAAGGGAGGGCCTCCTTTCGAGGCTTCTGATGGTGCTGGAGACTTTATCTCCACCACTCCAGAACAAATTAAGTGATCTGCTTTCCCTCTCAGGGGTCCTGGCCAGGGTGGGCATCGAAAATGTTCTGGCTTCTCAAACCGGCGGCAGGGTGGTGGCTCAGGGTGTTTATCCGGGGATTGAGAGTGGGGGATGGGAAGATGGGAACCAGAGGGAGGATCAGGTGGTGGCTCACTCTGTTCTGCCTTTCTCCCTTCCTCACCTCGGCAGGGTGGGCATGAAGGTGGCCAAATAGAGCGCTGAGAGAGGCAGGGGTTAATGTCTGGGGACGCTAATGAGTGAAGTTTTGTTCCCTTTGAGCCAACTCAGAAAGCTGGGGGAGTGCAGAGGACTGGGCGTGTGATACCTGAATTAGGACCGTGATCAGCCTATGAATTAATGAAGGACGTGGGTAGATTGTTGAATCTGTAAAATGGGGCTAAGGAGGGGTTATGTTTCCAATCCCCATCTCGTGCCATAAAACTCCCTTGGTGAAAAGGGCTGTAAGAAGACTGCAGCTCTCAGTATTCCAGAAGACATTCATATTCCCTAAGGATGCTCCTGCCAGTTTATCTGCACCAGAGACTTGCATGATTCAAGGAAAGTTACCAAGTGGCCAAGGTTATACCACCGGCCTCCTGCCAGATGAGTCAGCTGTAAACAGAGGACTCAGTTCTACTCTCCCCTGTTCTCGTGGGGACAACCAATAGTGCTCTTGATAATCGTGCAAATCCTTACATTTATCTGAAACTTTGTACTTTTCAAAACACAATCACATCTTGAATCCTGCACCGTGAGGCTGCTGGGCAGATCAGGACTCTCCTTGGGCAGATGAGGCAACAGACACAAGGAGTGACTTCTCTGAGGTCATGTAACAAGGTGGTGGGGGCGCTGGTTACTAGCGAGCACCTGTTCCCCCTCTCTGGTTTCTGGACACCTTCTTTCTCTCCTGCTCACCCACAGAAGAGCCCCCAACCCGGCCTCAGAGGTGATGGGTAGTCCCTTTAATCCCAGAAAGGAGTCCTTGGCTTGGCTGGAGCAGAGCTAAGCTAGAACTAGACCTAAGAGTCTTTCAAGACCCCCAGAGCCATTGTACCTCTGGCTCCTTCCTGCTCCGATGTGAAAGAGGAGCTGAATGCTTGCTTCTTGCTTCTTTGTCCACCAGGCATCCCATTGCCCTCTCTGTTCACCTCCTCAGGGAAGTCCCAAGGAGGGACCATGGACCTAACAGAGAAAGAAGGCAAGAAGATTAAAATGCCGGAGATGGCACAGAGATGATTTAGGAAAATGAGGATACAGCCAAACTGGAATTCCACGAAGGGACCCAGAATTAGGCTTTGGGCTGCCTTGCTGTGTACCTTCCCTACCCTTCCCCTCCTGAACACCCAAAGGCTCCCGGGAGCTCATCACCTCTGCCCTGAGTCACTCCCTGCCCTCTCTGGGTCTCCTTCTTACTAACTTGGGCCTCTGCTTCACCTTGGGCTTCTTCCCAACTCTAAGAGTCCCCCTGCCGCTCACAGACTTAAAGAGCCCTAGGAGGACTCTCCTTTGCAGCTCACCGGGTCCCTGGAGTGAGCTGGCTGGAGCCCAGTTAGTCATAGCCAGCAGGGAGAGGGAGCCACCGCCCCACCCCTCCTGGACTCCCGTAGTAAACAGAGACCAGGACACCGTAGGAGAAGCTGGATTCCAGGGAGAGTGGGGATGGGGTCAGGGGCTCTGACCCTAACTCAGCCCGTTTCTAACTGGAGGAAGAGTCATCATCTTGGTGACTGTGTCCCAAGAGTTAGATTATTTTCAAAATTATCATTATCCTTGCATTGGAGAAAGGAAGAAGCAGGTGTTTGGAGAGGGGGAAATCGGGCCTCAGAGAGGCAAAGATCACAAGATCACACAGCAAAATGGGAAGGTGAGGGACCCAGGAATCCTATCTCCTAGTCCCCAATACCACCCCTGACTCTTCCTCAGTGGTGGGCCAAGGGTCATGCATGTGGAAGGGTTCCAGTGTCGTCTCTCAAAGGCAGAGGAAGGGAAGGCGCCAGCCAAGCCCACCCTATGAGCCGATTGGGGGCTGGGGCTCTTCCACATGGCCGCTCCGTGCTCTGAGTGAGCCTTCCATGTCTGAGTCCACTGTTCTCTTGTTTCCTGGTCACTTCTTTGTCAGGAGCCTCCTCACTCTGCAAGATCCAGGCGGCTGAGGGATGCCCAGCTCAGAGCTCACACTGGCCTCTCTGTGTGGTTCTGACCACATGGGCTACCAGCTCCTCTTCTGCTGACAACCAGAAGGTCCGTGAGGACCAAGCTGTGGCTCAGAAGGCCTTAGCCTTTGCTAGCCATTTGGAAGCAACTGAAAGTGTAGGGATAAGATGGGTTCTCTCCTAGAAGCCAGCGGATGGTCGACGGACCAGGCACGAATTCCACTCACTGCAAGAATTTATCCTACGTGGGTGTACTCGTACACATGCAAAAAGTTATATGAACAAGGGGGTCTATTTCTTAGTTCTTTGGAATGCTAAAAATTGGGGGAAAAAATGTGCTTTGCTAGGGAACACAAAAATAAATTGCTAATCTCTACAGTGGAATATTACTCAACCAGTGAGAATGAGCTTTTCCCACTGACATGGGAAAACGTAAAAAATGTATTATTAAGGTTAAAAAAAATTGTACAGAACACTATCATAGTATGAGCCCATTTTTGTTATTAATGAAGCATGTATGCTGGCAGATGTTTGAAAGAATATAACATAATCATAGTGGTTCTCTCTGTAGAGGGGATGAAGTAAAATTCAAAGGCATTTTCTTTTACTTTCTAAGTTAATTTCTACAGTGTTTGAAAATTTTACAAGAGCATGTGGGTTTCTTATGTAATCAGCAAAACAATGAAGATATAAAAAGAAAATAATTTTATGGATAACTCTCCCTCCTCCCAAAAGATATATATGTATATATATGTATATATACCTATCTCCAGGTGTGGGAATCTGCCTAGACTCTTCTGGGCTTTTGTCTGCCTCCAGATGGTCCTGGTGACGCAGGGAGATCTCAAAGGCTCTCACAGGGACTGAGCCTTGTTCCCTGTGTGGGCCCTGAGGACTTTGCAAATGAGTGACAGGACCACAAAGAGCTGAGGGAGGCCCTGCCCTGTCTTCCCTCCTCTGTCCTCCTACACCTGATGGTAGTAACAGTAGCATCCTCCAAACCCACCCACCACGGAGGACACGGAGCCCAGGCCGGCTCTCCCAGAGCCCTGGTCATGTCCCTGGTGGGAGAAGAAGAGGAAAGCTAAGCGACAGCGCCCCTCGGAGGCGGAGAGAGGCCTGGGGAGCTTGCCCCCAGACACTAAATGAAGGCTCTGGGAATACTACAAGGAAGACATGCCCAAACAGGGCAACAAAATATCTGGTATATATTAAGTATTTACACAAATACTGCGACATTTACAATGCAATATAACCATGCTATTCGTAAGATAATTATGGGGTTTATAAAAATGATTCCTTCTTGGCATGTTAAAGGCAGAGGGTCTGGCGCAGGGAGTCAAGGTCAAAGTTGTCTGAGGGGGCTTTCTCTGAACCCTGGCGGTGTATCTCTGTGGGGTCTGTCTCATTTGGGCATGATGTCAGGATTTGGGGTTCTTTGGGAGCAGCCTCCTGCCCCATCTGGGGTAGGCCCCAGGACTAAGTTCCTCCACCCCGCCTCCGCTGTCACCCCCAAAATCCCCGCTTGTTTCACTGCCAGCGCCCTTCGGTGTGGAGTGTCTGTAGGGTGCCAGCCCTGCGCTGGGTGCCCTCTGTGCGGACCTCATGCCCCAGCACCCCGCCTCCTGGAGGGAGATTGCACCAGCCAGTGGAAGCAGCTGTGTCTGAGAAGAGCTGAGTCCTCCAGGGAGGCAGCCGTGGGGACGTTTTCACAAACAAGACCTCACCCTGCCTCGCCAGGGCAGCCTCCAGCCCAGCGATCGTGCGTCGCTGCCCTGCTGGCCGTGTTTATCCCCTCCAGACTTTAGTGGTTTCGCTAGCTGAGCCCCTCGGGGAAGTTTCCAGGGCTAAGGAGACCCCTCAGGGGAATCCCTTGCAATACCCGGGGAGCCAGAATTAATAGAGC